GGGGCGGGGCGGCAGGGCCGGGTCAGGTGCGTGTCAGCGGTGCGGTGCCGGCCCAGGGAAGCTGTCGCCGCAGGGCTGTTCTCAGAAGCCGGCAGTGGGTGCCCTGCCAGGGGCTGCAGCTTATCTGCTGGGAGCAGCCTGTACAGGGCAGCGTGACCCCGGGGGCTTGGCACAGGCTGCAGGGCTGCGCCTGCGGTCTTGCTCGGGCATCTGAGAGTCACCATCAGATCTCGCAGGAGCTGGGGCCGCCAACCCTGCTCTCCCACCCCCCTTGAGGTGACCTTGACCTTTCTGTCCTGATCAGACTGGGGTGTCCTGGCACCGGTGCAGGCCCACTGAGGGGGTGCCTGCTCTTGGTGCCCGGGCAGCTCCTCCCAGCTACCGTCCGACCCCCCAGCTGATGCTCCCTGTGCCCCCAGCCCCTGTTCCAGCCCCATCGCCCTCTCTCCCAGGGCTCGGCCGTGGTGCTGCAGCTGCCTGTGTCCAGGGGCAGCACATGTTGCATGGAGGGATCTCAAGCTGCCCCTGGTTTGGGGGGGCATCAGTGCTGCCAGTGCCCCCCTGAACCCTGCCAACCCCAAGCCATAGCATGCAGAGAAAGCCCATCACAATAACCACAGGAGATGGGGCTGCCGTGTGCCCAGCGTTTATTCCTTGTGCTCAGCCTGGAGGCGAATGGCCATGTCTCCAGGAGCTGTGGAGGTCAACCACATGAACACTCAAGCTGCAGAGGCCGCGGATGCTCTGGGCTGCAAGGGACAGGTCTGACCTCTGCCCCATGGGGGTGTCAGACCCCCAGGCACAGCACAGAGCCTGGAGGGGCAGCAGCCATGGAAGAAACCCCCTTCCCCCCAGGCAGGGGCTGGAGGGTGCAGGAGCCAGGGAGTCATCCTGGAGCCGGCCGCTTCCCCAGGCCAGGTCTAGGCTGGGCCTGGAAGAGAAGGAGCGGGGGTCAGAGCCAGGTGTGCCCTCCTCCCCCAGGTGATGGGGACGTGGGGAAGCCACTGACGGACCAGGACATGCACCGGTGAGCAGCTTGAGCAGCCCTGGCTTCACATGGGCCCTTGCGAGCAGGCCCCATGGCCACGACTTCTGCCCCTTCCCCAAGCTGCCTGCAGAGGGGTGGCTGTAGCCCCCGTGGGCAGAGGCCCCGGTGCCCGGGTGAACAGCAGGCACCTGCAGGGGCATCTGCAGAGGGCGTGGCTGCACGTGGCATTACTTGTCCCGCTGCCTGGCCTGGCTGTGGCTGCAATGCGGGCGAGGGGCCAGCTTGGGCTCGACCTGCGTGGAGCAGGGCAGGCATCACTAGAGAGGGCCCAGCCCGGGGCGGTCCATGCAGCCGTCCCCGCCACCGGGACCCTGTGCCCGGCGCGATGGGGTGGAGGGTGACGGAAGAATGAGAGAGGTGCAGAGAAGGGCCAGGGGGCGATGGGTGGTGCAGAGACGCTGCTACATGAGGAGACTCCCGGGGCCAGGCCTGTTCTGTTCAGAAAAGAGATGCTGGAGAGGGCATGAAAAGGGTTCACAAGACACCAAATGGGGAAGAGAAAGCCAGGAGGGATTTATTACTGTTGCCTCTCTCTCCGGACAAGGACAAGAGTTGCAGCATGGGACGACAGCCCGGCAGTTTATAGCTAACACCAGGAAGGTCTTTCTCCCTCGGCATGGCATTAAAGGTGGGACTTGTGGCGGGGAACTGGACCCATGCTTGGCAGAAAGGGGCATCGGTCGCTACTGCACAGGGAGAGGGGCACGGCCCCTGCATCAGAGCGCCCTGGACCTTAAATGCTGGAGGTTGCAGAGGAGAAAGGAGCAGGGCAAACCCTGCTCAGACCCAGCCCCTCTCCCTTCCAGCCTCCGCACCCTGCCGCCGGGCAGGAGAGGGGCCCAGACGGACCCGGGGTCCGCCTCAGTCCGTGGCAGCTCTGATGGTCCAAGGAGCCACACCTGTCTCGGGAGGGGTGCATGTCCGGGCGCAGCCGGCCAGGCAGCACTTGCGCCTGCCCGGGCACTCGGCGTCTGTGTGGCACTCGGCCGTGACGTTCCCCAGGCACACATGCGGCGTCCATCGGCACCAGCCCGGCTTCTCTGCCAGGGCGAGAGCGGCAAGAAGAGCATGAGCGTGCCAGCCCCTTGCTCCGTGGTGGCCTGGTCCGTCCCCCCCGGGCAGCTCCTTACCCTGCACGACCGGGGGGACGCAGGCACGGCCGCAGCTCAGCAGGCAGCACTTCTCGCCCGCCGGGCACTCGCTGTCCTGGCCGCACAGGAGGGAGCAGTCCTCGGCCTCGTCCTTTCTGGCAGGGGCAGGGCAGAGCCCAGGCCGCACTGGGCAGGCACAAAGAGATGGTGTTAAGGGGGCTGCAGGGAGGTGGGCGCTGGGCTCGGTCCTGCTCTGGGCACCCCCTGCCCTCGCCTGAGTGGGCACCTGGGTCACTCATCTCTGCCCCCTGTATCCACTGCTCAGCCTCTGGGGGCCTGCAAGACCCCCCAGACCCCTGCATGGACCCCCTCCCCTCCCTACCCTGCGGCCCACCGCCCTTACCCACGACGGGCGGCTTGCAGATGTGGCCGCAGCTGGTGCTGCAGCACTTCTCCGCCCCGGCGCAGTCCCAGTCGCTCTGGCACGTCTCCATGCAGGGCCCAAGGGAGCCTCGCAGGAGCAGCGGGCAGGTGCCCGGCTTGGCTGCAACACGTGAGGGCCACCCGGTGTCACGGCCGGCCGGGAGCCACGACACCCCCCCTCCTCGGCCCCCAGAGGGGTGAGGGAGGTGCAGGGAAAGTGGTCGAGCTGGGGCCATGGGGACACGGCTCTGCCGCTGCTGGCCCTGTCCTGCCCCCCACACCTAGCACCTGTCCGGGGGGGATTCTTTCCTAAGCAGGGGTCCTGGGGGGCACTGATGCCAGTGGGAGGTGGAGGGGAGTGGATGTGTCAGGGGTCGGTACCTGAGTGCGGAGCTTGGCAGTGGTGGCCGCAGCCAGTATCACAGCACTTCTCGTCCCCCGGACACTCGGAGTCGTCCAGGCAGGCGTCCAGGCATGGCCCCTTGGGCTGCGCTGTCGGCACGGCCGGGCACTCCTCCGGCTTCTCTGTGGGAGAGACACGTGCTGCCACGGCTGGGAGCCTCGTTCACCTGTGCCAGCCCTCCCCGGGTCAGCCATCGTGCATGCACACGCGTGTGCAGGCCCATACACCTGTAGCCCGGCAGGGTCACAGCTCAGCACCGGGGCAGGATCTGAGCCCAGGGAGCTGGGGTGAGGGCAGCGCGGGCAGCCCCGTGGGTACCTTTGTAGGGGCTCACGCAGCCCAGGCCACAGCCAGTGAAGCAGCATTTCTTGTCCCCAGGACAGGTCCTGTCGTCCTCGCACCGGTTGGGGCAGGGGGCGAAGTCCGGGGAGGCTGGCTTCCGAGGGCAAACGCCGGGCTTGGCTGGGAGGAGATGGCAGCTCTGGGTGCGGCTCGGCGGGGCTCGACCCCCCCGCAGGGGCAGGACCCCCCCTCCCCACCAGCCCTACCTGGCTCGGGGCAGTGGCAGCGAGCGCAGCAGCCCTCAGCGCAGCACTTCTGCCCCGTGGGGCACGCCGTGTCGTTGGAGCAGCTGGCCGCACAGCTCCCCGTGCCCACCTCCTGTGGGCTGGACCGTGGGCAGTAGCCTGGGGACACTGCAGAGCAGAGACATGGGCTGCAGCCCAGCTCCAGCCCAGCCCTCGGGGCCTGCCCCTGCACTGGGTCACCCCTTGGCACGTGGGACCACGGTCTGTACAGCCCCCATCGGGGAAGACCTCTGGGAACAGACCGTGGGTCGCATGTAGGTGCAACGTGGTTGTTCATGCCCTGCCTGCCCCAGTCCTGGGCTGTACTGGGCACCGAGGGCAGGCACGAAACCCTCTGCAGAGGCCCCAGCCCCACCCGCCGTGCCTGGGGCAGCTCTGACCTGACCTGGGGCAGAAGGCAGGGAGCCCGCTAGAGCGGGCAGGAGGAAGGCAGGGGGTCTGCCCATGACATACACGCTAGGGGCATGAGCTTGGGGTGCCATCCTGCACCCTGCTGTGGCAGCTGGGCTCCGGCAGCAGCACGTACCGGTGGCAGGGAGCAGGCAGGCTCGCAGGTGCTCCCTGCTGCAGCACTTCTCAGCCCCCGGGCAGCTGCGGTCCGAGAGGCAGTAGACCCTGGAGGGAGGCACGGCCTTGACCTCGCCAGCTGGGCACTCTCCTTCTTTACCTGCAGCAGAGACAGGACACCGGAGCCGGGGCTCTATCCAGCCAGGACCTGGGGAGGACAGGGGTGCGGCTGAGAGGACAGGCTGGGGATGAGGGGGCAGCCCCACTCTGTGCTTACCTCCCTCGCCCTGCCCCAGGGCGCCTGGCAGCTGAGCCCAGAGGATGAGGAGCCCCAGGAGGAAGGTGATGCCCGCTGGCTCCATGGTGCTGCAGGAGCTGGTCTGGTGCCTGGGCTGTGCCACCCAGGATTTAAACCCTTGCCCAGGCGGGGAGAAGGGCCGGCTCGCAGGTGGACAGCAGCTCTGCCACCGTGCAGCATGCCAGCGCCAGGTGCCAGCCCCGGGAGGGCTGGGCCGTGGGAGAGCTCAGCGCTGCCGGCAGCTGGAGGCCGGGGGAAACCCGGGAGGTGCTGGGCTCGTGGCCCACAGCCCCGGGACTTCTCCAGGTCATGCAGTGGCTGGGGGGCTCCCAGCTGGGCCTGGGCCTGGGGCCGTGCCCGGCTCCGCTGGCAGCACCCGTGGCCCTTCTCCTTGGACACAGGACCCATTCCTGCTCCCTGATTGGCTGAGAGCAGTCGTCATGCCTGGTGCCTGGTGCGAATTCCCCCGGTCCGGCATTCGAGGGCAGCGACCACTTGGCACCAGCCCCTTGCCCTGGCCGCTCTGCGGGGTCCTGGCCGCTAGCAGGGTCTGCCCGCGGACGGGCCTGAGCACGTCTGAGAGCCCAGCCTGCCGGGCCCAGCCAGCTGCACCCCACCCCGGGACCCGCGCGTGGGCCGGGCCGTGTTGCAGAAGTGCCGCAGCGTGGGGATGCAGCCCCTTTGCCTTCAGCCAGCGCCAGCTGTGACTGTGCGGTGGTCTCCGCGGTGGGGTTGAACGTGGCAGGCTGGGAATGCCAGGCCTTGCCTGCCCAAGCCCACTGCCAGGCACCCCGGCTCTGGAGAGCGCTGGGGGCGGCCGGGGGCCTTGCAGGTGCCCACTGCTGTAGGGGAGGCTCGGTGCGCGGCAGGAGAGGGTGTGGGAGCCGGTGCCCGGGAGCAATCTGCCTCCCTGCCTGCCAGCCGCGGGGGGCCCGCACCAGACCGCTCACTCGGGGCCTGGGCACATCCCGGGAGCCAGCTGGCAGCCGGATCCTGCCCCCTGCCCAGGCTGCCGGAGCCCTGCACAATGGGCACATCTGCCCGTGATGCCAGCACGGGCTGCAGCACAGCGGGGCACGGCTGCGGCCACCTGCGCCCGGCGGTGCGTGGCGTGACGGCGTGGGAGCGGGGCGGTGGGCCTGTCTCCCTGCCGCGACCCCTCACTCGGCCCCCGGCGCTGCCACGGGGTGGGCGGCGTCTCCATCGACGGAGCTGAGCGCCCCGCGGAGGTGTTCGGACTCTCCCCGCCCCAGGTCTGGACACTGCCAGCCCCGGCCATGGGGCCAGGGCCCAGCTGGGGTTTCTGTGCTGGAGGAGGGAGGAGGCACCGGCTGCCTGGGGCTGTCTAAGGAAACATTAACCAGAGAACAATGCTGCGGGCCAGCCGGCCCTGGCAACGGGGCAGAGCGCTGTCACCAGCACCGGCTCCGACAAGCCAAGCCGGGCAGCCTCGGTGACCCTTGCTCTGAGCCAGGCCCCAGGCGCTGCCTCCT